ACACACACACACACACCTCTGGTTTGCTTACTTCACTCGCACAGCCGTGGAGCAGCCGCTGGAGGAATCTGGAAAACACCAGTGGGGAATGAGAGGAATTTTCTGCTTTTCGTTTCCCCTTAACCCCCCACCCCAGCTCTCTCTCTCTCCCTCTCTCTCTCTGGACGCCTCTCCGTGCGGCGAGCAGGGCTCTTGAGTTTTCTCTCGTTTCTGAACGCAGTCCAACAATAACAACCTCTCATAAACAAAAGGAGCTTGTTGATTAGGAGGGGGGCTATCAGTTCTGCTGGAGTTGGGCCTTACTGGCTACACAGGGAGGATTGTGGGAGATTTAAGGGTTACTGTAAAAAGGCACCATGTCTGAGGAACCATAAACACATGCTTTGGTTCTTTCTTAACCCACCATCCTTCCAGAAAAAAAAAGGGACTTTGATGGACAAAACTCCTAAAAGGAGAAGCTGGTCAATGTCAGGAAACCACAAAAGTACAGAGGAAAAAACAAGAGCAAGATTTTGGAATTCTCTGCTTTTTACAGCAGCAGCGGTCTCATAAAGACAGTCTGGATCGAAACGAGTGGGTTTTTTTATTTTTCAAACAAGTTGACCGTAGCTCTGCCCCCGCTCTTTTTTAGATCAGCACAACCAGCCGAACGCCAATTAAACATTTCTCGTCCGAAAACGAACAAAAAAAACAAACTGACGAGTCTTGAAATAACTTTTGGGTTTTATTTGGTTTCCATTTTAGGAAGCGGCTCGAGCACTTTTCTGGACGTCGCTCCTCATCTGCTGAAAAGATTTTATTTTACTTTTTTATGACTCTCACTGCAACTGAACGAAAGTAAAATGTCAAACGAGATCGGAAAAAGACGGAGTGCACGATCTGCATCTCAGTGTAATTTCCTACAGGCTGCATACCAGAGGGAAACTTTCTGGAAATACAAATACAAATAAAACAACCTTGCAAGGTTCGGTGCTGTTTAAAAGTACAAAAGAAATTGTGCGCCCCCTGGTGGACATGAGGGCATTCACACCTGCCCAAATTTTAGTAAAGACCAAAAGATTTTCTGTCCAAAATGCGAGTCCACAATGAGGAATTCAAAGTTACATCCTTGGATCTTTACCTTTATTTATGATGGAAAATATAACAAATACAAACTTTTTACATAATTCACTCAAACACACACCAAGCACTCATCATAAGGATATTTATTATTCATGTCCAGGACTCCTGAAGGCTGGCTCACACCAGCCATCACTTGTCCGCAGGCTTGAACGGGTCGGACCAGATCTTCAGACCTTTGGACCAAACAACAGAGAGTGTCGTCAGCATCTACAGAGAGTTATACACATTAAACGGTCGCTCTAACTCTGACCCTATCATCTGTTTTGAGAAGCCGTTCAAAAGATTTGGATCGTTTGTGAATGTCACCTCTCTTTGCTGTAACAAATCACGTTGTTTTGACTATATTTTTCAAGTAATGCTCTCCTCCTGTGTGATTAAAGATCTTACCCACAGGTTGCACATCAGCCTGGTTGATTCCTGCCCGGTTTACCTTTTGGATTTGTCCTGGAAAGAAGAAAACCACAAGTTAAATGTTTAAAAATATTTGTGTCCAAAAGTAATCAAATTCCTGGACAAGATACAGTGTTTTTTGTTTGCAGCATGTAAATGAAAATGAACCAGATCATTCTTTTTACTAAAGCTTTATGTTTTCTTTAAGACTTATTTTGACATTAAAATCAAAGCAAATCTTACTCGTCACTTCTTTATTGCCAGTTTTATTTTTTGTTTTGGTGTAGGCTTTGTATCAAGCAGAATTTAACCTTACAGTTTTTTTATTTAGTTGTTTAAAAAAACTGTGGTTCCCAAACTTTTTATCTTCTGACCCAGAAAATATCCATGGCAAAAACGTGTGACCCCAAATATTACTGGTC